TCCAGATGTACATACAGTATGTCCAATAAAGTATGCTGTCCATTCTGCTTTTGTGTTTAGAGACAATTTCACAACTTATATGGCAACACTGAAAATGATATGCTATTCTTACTTTTTGACTGACTTGACTTTTCTGCTCATTTCAGAGATTGATAACCACTGAACTGAGGCTGAACTAAAGGAATCTTATGAGGGTGAAGACAAAATATCACATTAGCTGTAAATGTTATTTGTATTGATCTTATTCATTATGCATCATTTAGGAGGAGTGGGATTTTTATATATATATATATATATATATATATATATAGCTGTAACAGTAAATAAACAGTAAAGTGCTCTTCCTTATAACCGTTATTCTTCTTTCTTTATCCTTCATTTCCTCATCAGTGGTGTTATTGTGCAATCACTGATGATGAGGTAATTTAGATTTGTCTGGAACTACAGTATGATTTAAAGTGTATCATGTGTTCTGTCTCACTAGTTTTCTATGCAGTGTCCATATGACAGTGCGTGTGTGAGGAATTTAATTTCTTATGAGGTACACTGTAATGACATAATTTTCCAAGTCTTGTAATTTCTTCTTGGTCAGAAGGAAAAGTTACATTTATAAATTAAACATGCACCATTTGAGGCACAACTCCATATAATGTTTTGGGTCAGCTTCTAAATGACAGAAATACCTCTCCTCTTTTTTGTTGTTGTAGACAAATACTTTTCAAGCATTTCAAAAGACTCTGCTTTCTGAGCTGTAAAAAGGTTATGTCAGATGGAGCTTTAAAGGAAGCCATGTTGATGAACCAGTTAAACCAGCACACAAACTGGTTATTGCATACTGTTTTTTGTTTTGATAATTAAAAGAAGTTACATATTGTTCAAAGGCTGGTTAATTGGTGCTGTTGCATCTCTTTTGTTCAATTTGAAAGTCTTTACACTATATTATTTGAGTTTATTCATGTTTCACTCTTTTGAATAATGAGATGTGTGAGCTGTTCATGTTGTTATCATGGGTCAAACAGTGCCCACAGACATCTGAATATTGTTTAGCAGATGAAAATTCAAATTGGATCCGATGTTCATAACACCACTAAAGGGATAGTTCAACCAAAAATGAAAATTCCATCATCAAACATTTGCTGCTCCTCATTGACTTCCACAGTGGGGACATCAACTGTTTGGTTACCTACATTCTTCAAAATATCTTCATTTGTGTTCAGCCGAAGAAAGAAACTTGTACAGGTTTGTAACAAATTGAGGGTGAGTAAATGATGACAGAATTTTGGATGAACTATCCCTTTCGTTTACACTGCAAAGTTGGCACAGAAGCACTTCTGAAGTGGCATTTATGAGTCTTTACGACTCCAATGCTGCTCAGAAGGCATAATTGAGGCTGGCTTTTATGTGGCATCACGTCTATATGCTGAATTTCCAACAGGCACAGAGCAGCCTGAAATCGGTAGGGTTAAGATGCCTTAAGATTTCCGTAAGCCTCTCATACAGTTTTTAAAGTTGAGTTCTGTAGATTTTAGACTTACAGACTTGTGTTTTCAGGGACTTGCCTCTTACCTTATTTTTTCTTCATGGACTTGCCTCTTTTTTGTGTTTGTGCTTTTGAAATGAGTTGTTTTATTAAAGGAAAAAGAGGTTGTTTTTGTATGATGAGGAACATTTAAAGTTTGGATGGTGCCCCACATGCCAGATTTGCAGCTCAAATCCACTCATGCTTCCTCTCAGAGTTCAGGCGGCTCTTTGAGAGAGAGCCAGCACTGGAAAGTAGAGCAGCTGGGAAAGCTAATGGCTGCCCCTGGTGATTACCGTAGAGGAAAGGCCTCTTTTCACAGTTTCCCCAGCCAGTCTGCCGCCTGGCGACACCGAGATAACGGCCTCGTTGTTGCATGCAGGAAATGAACAAAGACCACCCTGTCCCCCTCCTAAACTCGTCCCCCACTGCCCATTCTGTATCCAAGCTTTGATTTCAGCACAGTCAGGCAACAGGTATCTGTAGCCACAGGTAATCTGAGTGCAAAGTGGGTCCAAGGCCTGGCACAACCACACTTGCCTCCCCCTGCCATGCCATCCCATTGTTCAGAGGACACCGAGTTAAATGATAAGAGAAACCCAATACAGTGGGAGCGGCTTTAGTGCTCTTCAGATGGGACAAAAAGGTTGGGGGGGACCAATAAGGTGGACCAAACCTTGTTGGCTGGACAAACTACTAAGCAGGAAGCTGTAATTTTAGGATTAGATCAGAACATCAGTAAACCACTTTTAGTAACATTGTCTTTCATCCAAGCATATAATACAGTGCGAGTTGCCAAATTAACTTCTCTTTCTTTTCATCCAGGACGGAGTGATCTCAGTGAAGGACATTGATCTGGTGATGTCTGAGGGCTTGGGCATGCGCTACGCTTTTATAGGTCCCATTGAAACCATGCATCTCAACGCACCAGAAGGCAAGCCACCTTTTAACCCATGCAATTTGTAAAAAAATGGGATAATGAAACTTTGTATTGAAGCACTGAGAAGGTTTTGTTTTCATTATGCATGTAAAAAAATTGGTGCGGTGCTTGGGGCAGCGAAAAAGCAGTCTGTAAAAACCTCTTATTGTTTCGATTACATCCACCTCACGTGACCTTAAGTGTGTGTGTGCAAGAGAGAAACTGTAAAAGAATCTGAAACAAGCACGAAAGTGTGTAAATGTGCATGTGTTTTGAAGAGATCTCATGTTCACGGTGAAAATCAGAAAGCAGTGTGAAATCTATAGGATGACCCTGCTCCCCCTATGAAACGTGCTTTGCCATGTGACACCAGTACTAACCTTTGATGATGACAGATGAGTTATTATTCTCAGCCCTGCCTACTGTGAGTGAGGTGCTACAGTGCTCTCACTGTGGTGATAAAGCCCCCCTGTAAACACAAGAGTTTCGCCCTGGTTTCTTCCATTGCTGTAATGGCACAAGTTCTTGGAAACTGTAAGCGAAGAACTGTGGCTGAACTTTCACTGGTGCACATCTTATCTGCTGAGAGCCCTTCTAAAAGAACTCATGCCCTTCAGATTAAGAGCTACTCAATTCATGCTTGAAAACTCTTGTTACAAAACAAAAAGCCAGTAAGTTTATACACTGAATCATTTTAGACACAGTTCCAAACTGATTATACTTTTTGTGTCACAGTTATTCATAAGGACAAAGCAGCATTTGTTATACAAAATATGAATTTTGTAGCTGGTTTTAAAAAAGTATTTTGAATGAATTAAAACGAATCAAAACTATTTCTGTAATATGTTGTTATTAGAGTCATGAAAAATATATGACCTTTTATGGTCAACTGTAATACTACTGTATTGTAGAAATGCAAAAGCACATTTTGATTTGACCCTCATTCTGTGTTTTGTCTGTCCAGGTATGGAAGATTATCTCCAGCACTACAGCGAGGGCATAAAGAGGGTTCTTAATACTTTTGGACCTGTTCCAGACTTTTCCGGAGAGCCAGCAGATAGAATTATAAAAGTATGCAATATCAGTTATATTATTAATAATTGGAAAATTTCTTGAAACAGTGGCTTTTGAAATCTTAAATCTGATTTCCTAAATACTCATATATATTTTTTTAATATATAATTATTGTAATCATTATAAACGGAAAGATTTTACCATCTACTTTAGGAGATCTGTGAGCTGATCCCTGCTGAACAGGAGCACCTTACAGTCAGGAGAGAGAGAAGAGATCAACTGCTGATGGGACTAGCTAAACTGAAGGAATGAGGCTAACCATGAGATACTACCTAAATGAAAGTGTTTATGGATCATCTGAGCCATTGTTGTCACATTTTTCCCTTCCAGGCAACAGAATATGACTGGAACTAAAGCTAACCTCAGAAATATCTTTAGGATTCATTTAATTATGAATTGAATTTTTATAATGCTTTACCAGTATTTTTAAGTCTAAGATTTGTGACAGATACTTGACTAAAGAGCACTTTAATGTGAAATTCACAAATTAAAAGGAAAATATGCGCAATTGAAAATGAATGGCATTTTCGTAACTTCATGAATGAATGAAGTAATGAATGAATCTCTTTATACCTAAGCTGAGCCCAATAATTATGTGTACACTTAACTTGAGATGTATGAGTGTCATAACATTTCAAACCAAGTGTCAGATTCAAATAAATAATGCTTTTCTCAGAACTAACAATGACTTATCTGACTGGTATCAAGGTGGTGATTTTTTGTGTATGACGTCAATTCACACAGGTGTCCTAGCAGAGTAAACACTGGTGTAGTACATCACATTAAAAAGAAAATGAAATGAAAAACACAACACATCTTAACTTTCACACAGTTTAGTTTTAAATATTTCAGGTCATGAGTAAATAACCTACAGTCACATAGAAAGTGCTTTTTACTCTAACGTATCTATTATTTATATTAGATTAATACTGCAACTTAAATGTGAGTAGGTCAGTAAAGTTTAGGCCCACTAATAATCTCAGCATATATATATATATATAAACATGTTATGTTTTGCTCGAAATGTGCAAACTGTTTGGCCTGATATCTTGTTAAATAATGCAGAGACAGATTATTAGTGGACCTAAACGTTACTGAATCATTCTACTTATATTTAAGTTGCAGTATTAGTCTAATGTAAGTTATAGATACGTTTCATATTTCATACGTTTCATGGCACCTGAACGGTTAGACTAAAAAGCACTTTCTATTCGACTGTAGGTTATTTACTCATGACCTGAAATATTTAAAACTATACTGTGTGAAAGTTATGTTGTACGTTTGAACATAATACCACACCTACACGCTAGCGACGCGACTGTACGAGATCGCTGCTGCTGAGGCGGCGGCGCATTCCAGGAACATACTATTGTTTTTTTCGCCTGCGAACTCAAGAACCACCAATGAACGCTGTGACTCCGCCCGATGTCAGGTGCACTAAACTTACGCTCACTGTCCTCAGTCAAACCACTTCATCTCACTCTCTAGACCACAAAGAAACTCCGCAAGTGAAAGTACTGATTTTAACTCACCTGGGCGGATATATATCATGGATTTGATCTGAATCATTTTGTAGGCTAACAGGTAAACTTCGTTTTGTAAAACCGCCAGACATTTCACTATTTTTTTAAGTGACAATGTTATGTGATAATTCTTCCGTGTTAATTTCGACCAAATATGATCAAAGTTACCAAAATGTGTGGGAATGAAGGATATCTTAATTAATAGGAATTTATTAAAGGATTTATTAATGTCATTAATATATGTTAATGAAGGTATTTTCAATTCAATATGTTGAGTCTTTTTGAAGACATAGAATTATAGTTTGTGTTATTAGGATTGAGGAATGAAAATTTAAGTTTACCCTACTGGAAAAGTTTGGAATAATATATATATACTTTTGAAATAAGTCTCTTATGCTTACCAAGACTGCATTAATTTGACCAAAAATACAGTAAATTTTGTAAATTAAAACAATATTGTGAAATATTACAATTTAAAATCTGTTTTCTGTTATAATATATTTGAAAATGTAATTTATTTTTGTCATAGCAAAGCAGAATTTTCAGCAATCATTAGTTTTCAGTGTCACATGATCCTTTAGAAATCATTGTAATATGCTGTATCTATTTTACTGTATTTTTTGATCAACCTTGGTGAGCATAAGAGACGTCTTTCAAAAACATTCTATTTTTATATATATTTTTTTGTCATCTGAAATTTAAACTGTATTGACAATTTTTGAGTTCAAATTTACATTTAAATATATATAGTGTGTGAACTTTACATATTGTTTAAATTTGAACTCAAAAATTGTCAATAAAATAATATAATGAATATTTATTTATTGACAATTTTTGAGTTCAAATTTACATTTAAATAAATATATAGTGTGAACTTTACATATTGTTTAAATTTGAACTCAAAAATTGTCAATAAAATAATATAAAAATTTAAACTGTATTGACAATTTTTGAGTTCAAATTTATATTATATGTAGTTGCTCAAATTCATCTCTTTCTTTTCGATGATTAGGAGCTGACAGCAACAGCAGATAGGATGAGTTGGGGAGCACTTTATGCCCAGCTGGGAGGGGTAAATAAACACTCCACCAGCCTGGGAAAGATCTGGCTGTCTGTCCTCTTCATCTTCCGCATTAGCATCCTTGTAATAGCCGCCGAAACGGTCTGGGGGGATGAGCAGTCCGACTTCACCTGACAATTTTTGAGTTCAAATTTACATTTAAATATATATAGTGTGTGAACTTTACATATTGTTTAAATTTGAACTCAAAAATTGTCAATAAAATAATATAATGAATATTATTTTATTGACAATTTTTGAGTTCAAATTTATATTATATGTAGTTGCTCAAATTCATCTCTTTCTTTTCGATGATTAGGAGCCTATGCATGTGGCGCATCGCAAACGCAATGTAAAGAAAGGACTTTTGGCCAACCGAGGTGGCGGTGCCAAAGGGGATGACCTGGAGAGTCTGAAGAAGAGGCGTCTACCCATCACCGGGCCGCTGTGGTGGACCTACACCTCCAGCCTGTTCTTCCGGCTCCTTTTCGAGGCCGGATTCATGTACGCTCTGTATTATGTCTACGATGGGTTTCAGATGGCCCGTCTTGTGAAGTGTGAGCAGTGGCCCTGTCCCAATAAAGTTGACTGCTTTATCTCACGACCAACAGAGAAGACAGTCTTCACCATCTTCATGGTGGGATCTTCTGCTATCTGCATTGTGCTCAATGTGGCTGAACTGGCCTACCTGATTGTCAAAGCATTGCTGAGGTGCTCAGCCAGAGCCAAAGGAAGGCACGCTTTTGTTCACCAAGATAAAATGTCCACAGAAAAGGCACACTTACAGAATGAAAAGAACGCAAGGTTGCTGTTATCTGCTTCGGACTCCTCGAGCGATAAGACTGTTTAAGATTATCCCTACATCCAGTGACTAATTCTACTAACATGGTAATAGGCTTGTGATGACAGTGTTTTAACTTCTCTAATGCCATTAGAGCATTAGAATTAGTGTGTTTTGTACCTTGTTTTTGACACCCTGCCCTGAGAAAATAACAAAGCCTAGCCTGACAGCAGGTTTCAAGCATGCTTCATTCCAGAGCTGGCATTCCTCCCCCAAGCCAAAAGACAATTAGTGTGTACTTACAGCACTGAATTGTCTGTAAAAATGTTCTAGGTTGTTGAATTTCATTTGCCAAATTACTCAAGAGCCTCACAGTACTCTCTAGTGGCATTAGAAAAGTCCAAGAGTGACTCCTAGTGGTCACAACGACATAAATGAAGTTCAGAGACCGTATTTGCACAAAATTGAGTGTCCTTTTTTGAGGGATCATTTACACGATGTTGTATTGTATGTAAATGCTTCTTTTTAAGATTGAGTTTTGCTTTGTTTACTTCTTTTTAAACGCAATTTCTTTTGCTCTTTCTGTTACCCATCAACAGTTTTGACTATATAGCTATATAACTTACAGAGCTGAGCAGGATTTGTGTTTTTGTGTGTTTTTATATGTGCTTATTTTGCACCTTTATTTAAATGTCTTCAACAACTGCACATCTGTGTTTAGTTTTAAGTCATTTCACTAGGTTCCGTTGCATTGACCCATACCGGGGATTTTATATCAGCATACCGCAGTGCCTAATTAGGTTGTTAACAAATAAGGCTGTAGTGGCGCGTCAGTCAGTCCACCTGTTGACAGGTGGGAGCTCGTGGTCTCGCGTTTCGTCAACTGTCCGTTATCTTCTGCTTTGTTTTTCTCCTCTCTGAGAGGCTCTACACGTCAGCGGTGACCAGTTTTGTTTTTAAGGCTTTGACTAAACCGCAGAAAGTATTGTTAGCAAAGTTTCCACATGGTATTGATGGAATCTTCTGCTGTTTCCTAAAGTGAGCTGTGATCATTTTTGATAGCCACCTGTTTGTAAAAGTACATTTCTTTGAAATTTTGGTTAACAACTTATCTTTTATATGCATATCTAAATAAAAAACGTATTAAATGTTTGCTGTTTGTCAGTATTGTAATTCCCGTGGGGAAAACCAATGGAGGGCGGTGCATTTCTATTCTATTTTAGGAAAGGCCTGCTCCATGACTGGATACTTTCCCATGCAGTAGCCTACAAAGATTCCAGAGTATTTGACTAGAGTAATTTTTGTCTTTTTGCCAGTTTACTACCACAAACCAGCTTTTAGTAATTGCGTAAATTATTATAAACTAATAATTTAAATTCTAAAGTAGTCTCAGTGCTTAATTTGAGCCGGTGTAGTGCCGAAATTTGCATCCCCTAGTATTGGTAGGTTTAGGAGTAGGTGTGTGGGAGGGGTTAGGATTAGGGGTGGGGATGTGATTAGGCAATCAGGTAGCGACTTTAATGAGGGGGTGCATAATCTGGCAGGGGTGCAGAATTCGGCACAACAGGTGTATTAGATCGTGACGGTGCGTGCGTGCATATGAGAGCGAGCGCAGGTTTATGTGGCTATTTGGAGGTTATGTATTGGTCCTCAACATATTTTTTTTTTGACCGTGACCAGTCAGCTTTCTTAAGTTCAAACTCGCTCTCATTGATTGGTGCTTACTGCGTATTGTTTTGTGAGCAGCAGAACGTTTGGAGAGAGTTTAATAATACCAGAAATACCAGAAATAATACCAAATAAAGTTAAATATTATAATGTATAAACACTATAAACATAGCTATACGTTAGTATAGCTCACTCCAAAACAAATCATATAAATGTAACGGTATTCAGAACAGAACAAGAATGAAATAAAAATATATAAACCTAAAGAAACCAAAACAAAGCGAAACTGAAAGTACCAGGCGTTAATTGGGCCCACGTACCTCTCATTCGGCACAAATCCTAATGTTTCCATATTCGCAATGTATTTCAATTAAAATTTAGGCTATAATGAAGAGGCTTTGTACTTTACGCGCGCTCCTATATCGACAGAAATATCCTCTTCACATGAGCAAAAATGTGTTTGGGATACAAAGTGGACCAGTTATACCACGGACTATTTAAATTGACCAGTGTAACCTTTTTTTGGTTGACTGTATTATTTTGATAATGAACAGACTGCGATGTCAAGTTTGAGTTGCGAATATGTGGTGTGTGTGTGTGTGTGAGAGCGCGCGAGGCGCCGGCGCGATCCAACAGCTGAAACATAAAATACACCATTTTTGATCATACAGATAAGAGTAAGACAAAGACCTAATTCGAAAGCACAAAGTGTTTACTTTTATTTTTGCACACTCAAAATAACAACAGAACATTTGTGATTTTGTAAAATAAAGCAAGGATGCGCGTTTAATTAAAACTGTTACTTATTTAAGTCAGATATTTTTTCGCATATTTATACCTATAGGGCCTACTATGATTGAATTTTATTTTTATGAAAAGAAATTTTGTTATTTTTAATGTATCTTAGATATACATTTTCCTACAATCATCCTGGCAACCCATTTTTGATCCAGGGTTTGAAGTTTGCACTAGTTAGGTTAATGCAGAAACTTGTGAACGATGCTCTCTTATAATTGTGGCGTCACCGTTTAGTGACGTCATTGAATGTTCCGGGAAAACTTAAGCTGTATTTTCAGTGTCGGTCACAGAGCATTTTAATTGGATCCGGCAATTATTCATTTACAAATTAAGCACTGAGCCTATCTGTATCTGCAGTGGAAAATAATAAATTGCAACTGAGCATCTGCACAACTGTAATTTGGCGGCAGATGAATTTATTATTAGGCTATGTTAAGCAATTGTAAAACGGTTATATATAGAAGAATTTAACAATAAGAAACTCATACTTTAGACACAATATGGCCAGTTATTTTGATCATTTTTACTCCGCTAACGAAAATATTTCCAAAGCAGAATCAAAGTGCCAAACAACGCATCAATTGACTGACTGCTTGAATAGAACGCGGAGTGATACAATCAGTGAAACGTCCAAATTCTGTTATAAGAAATCTCAACACTCTTGGAAACACCGCCTGTACAAGTATATAATAATAATAATAATTATTATTATTTCAAATAATTATAATCATCACAATCATTACCAACATTATTATTATAATCATTATCATTATTATATAACAATTATTATTAAACTATAATAATAATAATAATAATTAGGCTATTATTATTATTAGAATATTATGTGGTATAAAGTCAAATAAAGCATCTGTCTTCATGTAAAATTATGAGTTGGAGTACTATAGTTAAGTTGGGGTGATGAGTTTACCCCAGTTGACAGGGGCGTGGCGTGCGCGCTGACTGGCCGATGACTTTCTGAACGCAGCACTATTGCATGACCACTCAAAGTGACAGTAGCGATGGCTGGGAACGGGAGACAGCTGCGCTTGGTGAGACCCCGTCTCCACACTCGCTTTGCCATGAAAAACTAGGTTTTCTACGAGAGTTTGACCTCGGGTCTATGTGTGAAGAACTTTTGTGAATGAATAAGTTGGCCGGCCACTTTCAAAAGAGTTTGGTAAGCTGGCAGTGCTGGCAGCATTTGGGATCGGGGTGGGGAGCGGGGAGGGCTCCTGCTACCTTTGGGAGGTCTGTATGCTTTCAACGCACTCAAACTGTGGCACCAGTGGCCGCTGGATATTGCTTTTTTTAGATAAGTTTGCCTACTTCAGTCAAGGTATGCTTTAAGTTAGGTCTACAAATCTTTTATCCTTTTACATCCCACATTAATTAATATGACTTTTTGCTAACTGGAAGGCCATCAACATAGACTTCAGTTTTGGATGGTTTCTGCCTACTAACAGCTAACATCATTTAGACACATTTCAAGAAAAGAGCTGTTGTTTGAGATGACAGGTATGAGCGCATAATCACTGCAAAGAATAGAAAATCTGCCTCTCTCTGACAGTTTGTCCTGGATGTACAGTGAGAACAGTGGACAATTACTATCATCAGCTAATTATATAAACAGAAGCAGTTTGTAATTAAATGCTTAGCTGATAGATCAAAGACGCTAAGTATTATTGATATTTGATAATTATAAACTAACAACTTTAATAACTGTAAAATTATAGCTGCCTTGGGAACTAAAAGATTTTTAGGATAATTTGATAGAAATGAGCCATACTAGACCATAATTTACTGGAATTAAAAAATAAATAAAAGGGCTAAAATGTTTATTATCTAAGAAACTAGTATAAGGATTTTTTTAAATAATTATTTTAGTTATATAAAGTTATGTATAAAGATATATAAATGTTAAATAAACCAAGTTAAATGTAAAATAAATGAATAAACAACTGTTTTCTATTATTATTATTATTATTATGTAACTTGCACTTTCTCTTTCAGGGTCATAGACTTGATTTAGAACCTTAGTCGATGGATTTGCCGCCCTCAATACAACATCATTTTAGTAAGTAAATATATTGTTTTTCTTGCTATTGTATATTTTGCTCTTTTAGGGTTCTTTGTTTACTAATGACAATACTATATCAACCTTGTTCGGTTACACCTAGTTCAATGTTGTTGTTTAATTGAGTTCATTATGATAAAGATGAAATCTGTGTTGATCAAAATCCTTGGGTTATAACATGACACTCATTTCTGGATTCATCAATTTTTCAAAGCATTTACAGCAGCTACAGGGTGAATTCATGAATTGTACATTTTAGCTAGCAATTAATTATACTGATGTAGACATGATCTGAGTGTAGATTCACAACTATAAAGTGGCCTGGTTTTGGCAGTGCCCTGTCTCCATATTTCACTGCATTTTTCACCTTGATGTCCTGAAACTGGCTCTATCAGGGCCCTACGCATCACTGTCCAGTCAACGCTTTCAACTGTTTTTGAACATTATAATGTCGATCTCAGCACATGCCTGCTGGGCAGTGAAGCGAACAGGAGAGAAAGAGACCGTGTGTATGAGTGTGGTGAAAAAGTGTGTGTACGAGTGTATGTGTGTGTGTGTCAATGGCTGGAGAGAAAGCGAGCCAGAGAGAGTTTGCTTACACTGTGCATGCCAGGTTCATAGCAGCCAGTTAGAGAGTTAAATAGCCAGGGGTCACGAAATCCATAACTTTATGTCAAACATTTAGTTTTTTAATGTGATATTTACAGTGATCAATGACAAGGGTGATTTGCTTGGTTTTCCTAAACGTCGTTTGGTAAAGTTGTGTAGGGGAGTGCTTCATCAGGACTGATTGTTCGGATCTTATGCAGAACCGTGAAATGCTGTGTGAGTTCATGAGGGCTGAGTGTGTTTTTTTACGTTAATTTACCTTTAGCTGAGCCTGTTTGAGTGGGCAGTGCAGGCCAGAGAAGATCCAAACTGTCTTGTGTACAGTGTAACGTTATTTTGTTAACTAGTTCTGATGAATCCTCTCTGTTCCCCTTTAACCCTTTCTCTCACCTGACTCCACACTCTCTCTCTCTCACTCTTGCCCTCAGACTGTACTTTCTCTCTAGGCTAGAAATCGTGAAGCATGGGTGACTGGAGCTTTCTTGGACGGCTCTTGGAGAATGCACAGGAACACTCGACCGTGATCGGCAAAGTCTGGCTGACAGTACTCTTCATTTTTAGGATTCTGGTGTTGGGAGCGGCGGCCGAGGAGGTCTGGGGCGACGAGCAGTCGGACTTCACTTGCAACACGCAGCAACCCGGTTGCGAGAACGTCTGCTACGACGAGGCCTTCCCCATCTCCCACATCCGCTTCTGGGTGCTCCAAATCATCTTTGTGTCCACGCCGACGCTCATCTACCTGGGCCATGTCCTGCACATCGTTCGAATGGAAGAGAAGCGGAAAGAGCGCGAGGAGGAGCTGCGAAAGGCCAGTCAGCTCCAGGATGAGAAAGAACTCCTGTATAGAAACGGAGGGGGAGGGGAGTCTGGTGGACGGCAGACTCGGGAGATGAACGCCACCTCCCCCTCCCCCTCCCCTTCCTCCTCCTCGTCTCGCTCCTCTGACAACGGGCGGCAAGCCAAAGAAGCCGCTCCGCACGCCAGCGCCCCCACCTCCCCTGGCGGTGGTTCGAGCGCCGGGCCAGAGGAGGGGCACGTCACCACCACGGTGGAGATGCACGAGCCGACCATCATTTACACTGATGCTCGACGACTGAGCAGGGCTAGTAAAGCCAGCAGTGCGAGAGCGAGGCCCAATGATTTGGCGGTGTAGTGGCTCTCCACTGCAAAGCGCAGGTTTTTGTGGACAAAAACACAAAAAAATACACCAAAAAACAAGAGGAAGAAAGAGGCAGATTGCTGGAACAAAAACGTTAATTCCATTCATTATTTATTCCATTTTGCAATGTAAAATTACAAAGAGTTTAGTCATCTCTTATGGCTTATGAAAGATGGCTTCTGAATGCTGGTTAGTTTTATGCAGTAGCTGAATGGAGCAGTACGTCTGATGCAGGTTATGTTACACCAGAATCTCAATGGTTCATTAAACAAATGTCACTTAAATTAGTCTTATGACAAGGCCTTAATGTAAAAATGTCCATTCAGTCTGTTCAATTTATTAAGTATATATGTGACCCTGGACCACAAAACCAGTCATAAGGGTCAATTTTTTGAAATTGAGATTTATACATCATCTGAAAACAGAATAAATAAGCTTTCCATTGATGTATGGTTTGTTAGGATAAGACAATATTTGGCCGAGATGCAACTATTTGAAAATCTGCAATCCAAGGGTGCAAAAAAAATCTAAATATTGAGAAAATCGTATTTAAAGTTGTTCAAATGAAGTTCTTAGCAAAGCATATTACTACTCAAAAATTAAGTTTTGATATATTTACGGTAGGAAATTTACAAAATATCTTCATGGAACATGATCTTTACTTAATATCCTAATGATTTTTGGCATAAAAGAAAAATCGATAATTTTGACCCATACAATGTTTTATTTTTTTTGGCTATTGCTAAAAATATACCCAAGAGACTTAAGACTGGTTTTGTGGTCCAGGGTCACATTTTTAAAAGTATTTTTGAAGACTTGAATAGGATATGAGACCAATGGGAAAAAAGAGAGTAGTTGAAGTAATTGAAGAAAGACGTCAAATTCATAAACACACAATTTAAAAATGTTATCTTTGTTGTTCCAGCATCTGTCTCTACATTTCCTCACTGTAAAGAGAAATCAAAAGTTTGAGGAAGAAAAAAGTAAAAAGCACATTGCCTGATAAAAGTGGCAAACTTTAATGCATCACAGAGAAAAGGTCATCCATACACTGAAAAATGAGCATATAACTGAGGCAAGTGAAATATTTAGATAACTGTTGTACTACTGAATGGTGCAGAGTTTTAATTCATATATCTTGTGTATTCTCTGGACCAAGTTTCTTTTTATTTTTTTTCAATCCCATGATCTGAAGTTCACATCCTGCTCCTCTGTTGGATTTGAGAGTTTTGATATATGACCATGTCCAATCTTGCCATCAGGAATACATGATCACTTTTAAAATAGTTAATCAGATGAGGGGAGTACGAACTCTCATTACATGTGACATTTGAAATCCGTACTGGTTTTTATTTCAAAAAGTTTGAGCATTTTCTAAAAATTTAAGCAATTGGTTGAGAATGAGTACAAAAACAGTTATCAGAAACATTGCTTTTCTGTAGTCAGTTCGTGGTTGCCAAAAAGTAGTTACTTCAAAATGGACATAAAAAGATGCTGCAAGTGTCTTATGCTGATATGGAGTTTATCCCCCATTTTTTTCTCTCTTTTTTTGGTCCAGTTTCAGGTTATTGTGAGGCCCTCATTTTCATTGACTACTACTGCTGCTGTATAGAACATGCCTTCTGTAAACATAACTCATATCAACTTGACAGCACAACGTGATTTTTTATTTTTTTTTTTGAAACCTTTACAAAACTGTTGTTGAGACCCATTCAAACACAATGTACATCGCTTTTATTATCAGGTCTATATTTCTGCAATCCATTTAAAGAGACAAGACAGCCCTGAAATAGAAATGGTACATTGCTTCATCACGCAGAGTTTGTGCTTAGGACAGTATTACTTTTGCTTTTATCAGATCACAGTATTTACAGATGTATGTTATTTATTTTCTGCCGTTTTAATGTATCCAAAAACGAAAGTGTGTTATTTTGTCATTTTTTGGCTCTTAAAGTTTACATTTTAGTAAATAGCTGAAGATTTGCACATTTAGGCAAAAGACTGTGTTCAATAATTCTTACATTGATAGAAAGGAGGAAATATTTTTGATCCTTAAAGGAAAATGTCTTAATGGTAAAAGTCGTTGTGTTGATGGCAGTATTATTCCACTTAAATAACATCAAATGTAATTTATAAAACAGCACTTGTAGAGTATAAGAAATATACACGTTTCCCATGTTTTATTTTAGGACTGTTGTGGTGGCCTGAAAGGACCGCAGAAAATTTGAACTTTGTGCATTATAGCATTTCATTCATTCTGAATTTGAATTGGCCAGCCAGCCAGCCAGCTCTTTCTCCTATCTCGATCCGTTTGTAGTGTATTTAGTTGCAGCCCATTATTCTCAGATAACACTCATTTCTTGAACTTCTTGAACTGATTTTCTCGAGCAGAGCTGATTATTCTGACCAATCAGGGAAAAGAACCACCTACATATGCTCAGAACAGCAGCCTGTTTCAATGCTGTCTTAAGAGAAGTGCCTTGTGTATTCAATTTTATAAGAACAAGTTGATGTAAATGTTCATTTACCTCAAATGTTTACAAAGCTGTTACTAAATAAACTTTTTGTACCATAAATGTAGGCTACTCTGTCTTTTTCATTTGTACATGGCAGGCGTCAAAACTCAAAATACTAAATGTTATTGATGTTAAATGCTCTCAAGTGCTGGCCTGTTCACTAAAAAGGCTCCGTAAAATGGCAATAAAAAAGACAGAAAAAAGTGTGAAACTTTCACAGAACTATGAGATCTTTTTTAAAGGTTAGAAGGTCATTAAGTAATTTTGTCATTTTTCACCAACCCTCCCTTTATTTTAAGTTAATGATGCTAACCCCTGTCAAGGCATTATGCAATTTTATGTGATCCATGCCAAAACCATCAAGAACAACACCATAATGAGAAACAAATTCGCAGAAAGCCTGAGCACATCTCAAACGAAAACCTGCACTCGTTGACCTCTGACCTTTATGCTTATCAGTCCTCCACTCCAGATTCCTAGAGGGGAAGTGAGAATGAGACTGAATCATGAGGGACACTGAAATGACACAGCACCCACCCAATTCGCACAGTCCTCCCTCCGTGAGGGAACAGCAAATCCAGAGGATGATCTACGTCATGTACGTCCAATGTATGAAATGGACAATTTGACGCTGTCACCCTAATTGAAATCCTGATTCTGTTTGTGTAAGACAAATGCTGCTTTGTTTTGTTAGCAAGCTATTTATAATCTGAAAGTAGAAGTACAAAAAGAAGCTTTAAAGGGTTAGTTCACCCAAAAATGAAAATTAGGCTGTGTTTTACTCACCCCCGAGGCATCCTAGGTGTATATGACTTTCTTCTTTCAGACAAATCCAGTCGGAGTTATATTAAAAATTGTCCTGGCTATTCCAAGCTCTATCATTGCAGTCAGCGGGATTATTACGTTTTTAATATGGATATTTTTCTTACAAAAGCGCATCGATTTGCTACAGGAGGCCTTTGTTCACCCCCCGGAGCCGTGTGAGACACTTTTTTTTATGGATGGGACCTTTTTATTTAACTTCTTTGGGACTGAAGCACTGCAACACCCGCTGACTGCAATGATAGAGCTTGGAATAGCCAGGACAATTTTTCTCTCAAAAAAGAGGGTTTATACTGGTGACAGGGTTTAAATACTGGATCAGAGGCACCTTGTCTGCAAAAACCTAAGACTGTGGGAAATCTATTAGGAATAAGGAAAACCAACTTGATCCATCATCTTTTTTTTTATTTTTTATCTATGGCTAGTCAAATTTGACAGTAAATTATATTAAATTATAAATATATATATATATATATATATATAAAACAAAAACGTTCTCAGCCATAAATCAGCACCGGGAGAAAAGTTAAATGGATTCATTTCATGGGAGGCTACAGTGAAAGCATGTTGAGAGGAGGTGGATCTCAACACTTCCAGCTTTAAAACATCAGATCTGACAGTGGAGTTCAAGTTTAGAGAACTTTAATTCTCACCGTACTGGTTTGTTAACGGACATTTATTGCATTTAGTCAGCACATGCTGTGTGTTGTGGGAACAGACTCTGTCACACACACACACACACACAGTAGTTGAGGCTCCGACTGGATTCGTCTGAAAGAAGAAAGTCATATACACCTAGGATGCCTCGGGGGTGAGTAAAAAACAGCCTAATTTTCATTTTTGGGTGAACTAACCCTTTAATGTATTAAGCTATCTGTTAGTAGCTACAGAGAGAATGATCTGTAAGCATTTCCATTTATCTGCTGCTGAACAGCCTGACAAAACAGATCTGTGGCCATTTCACATTTAATACAAAAAAAATTACAGGATCTCTCAAAAAAGAGGGTTTATACTGGTGACAGGGTTTAAATACTGGATCAGAGGCACCTTGTCTGCAAAAACCTAAGACTGTGGGAAATCTATTAGGAATAAGGAAAACCAACTTGATCCATCATCTTTTTTTAAATTTTTTTATCTATGGCTAGTCAAATTTGGCACAGCCATAAATCAGCACTGGGAGAAAAGTTAAATTGATTAATTTCATGTGAGGCTACAGTGAAAGCATGAGAGATGTTGAGAGGAGTTAGATCTCAACACTATCAGCTTAAAAACGTCAGATCTGACAGTGGAGTTCAAGTTCAGAGAACTTTCATTCTCACCGTACTAGTCCATTTGAACTGACACTTATTGCATTTAGTCAGCACATGCTGTGTGTTGTGGGAACAGACTCTGTCACACACACACACACACACAGTAGTTGAGGCTCCACTGGCTGTTTCATGTGCTCGGTGTCTAGATATCTATTTTAGGACAAGTGTGTTGGGTTATTTTAGGGCCAAAGGATTAGAGAGACAATGCACATTTGAAACTGGCAAACCTCATGTGATGGTTTCAATAAACAGAGCTAATTTGGAGAATCAATATATATTATGATCAGAATAAGGACAGTAATCAATGATTGCTATGAGAAGAGCAAAACAATGGCATCAAATAAAATGGATAGTTGTAGTATTGGTTTGTGGGAAAAAGAGCATGGAGCCAGTCATTGAAGAGGAGGTGATACGCAGTAGGTGTTAAGTCCAGTGTTTGAGGGGTGTCATTCGATTGGTTGTCTGTGGGTTGAAGGTTGCAATGCTATCTCCGAAGGGCAGGGTCTATGTGTTTATGTGAGCACTTGGCTTCACCATCCCAGAACTAAAAACACACAGGCAGTTATTTATAGCCTTTAATCACCTTGGAAATGCATGCAGCCTCTCTGCCTGAATACCACTGTGCTGTGTTGTTTATATCAGGAAAGCCACTCAATATGTTTGGGGCCCAGTCTGGACCAAGGTGTGCATGTGCAGTTAATGACCGTTG